TAGCTAATGCCAGTAGGTCCACAAGCTTTGCTATTTGGAAGCTTAGAGATAATTGAAGTTATTTCTTCAATTGTAATTGGTAGAGTGAGAGTGTTGTATCAGTCAGGATTAATATGAGTTTGTGATAAATATTTTTGTTGCCAAGAGCTGTCAAAAGTATTTGGTTAATAGGTTTATAAGCAGTCTAGTTATGAAAATACTGTTGAATGTGCTGTTTAATAAGAGTTGGTTCAGTAATTAATTGGTCTGGTAGTTTAATATTTGAGAAATATATTGGGGCTTGATAGCGATTATGGATGCTGTTGATAGCATGTGTAGGTTTGCTAACAAAAGTCTCACATCTCTTTTCAGAAGCTTGTTGAATTTGTTGATGGAGAAGAAGGGAGTTTTCAGTATGACATGCTTGATATAGTTGGTATTATATATCCTGAGCATGATTTATCCATTCTAAAATTTGAGCAGAGTCTGAACTTAGAAGAGTTTGGAGATTACATTGAGTTAATATCTTAAATTTGTAAGTTAACTAAAGAAATATCCAAAGTTGTATTAGTATTCTTAAGATTTTGATTAAATGTCTGAGTTGTTTAAGAAACAGATATAGTTGTGTACTATGTGGGGTGTATTTGTGATTATAGCTACGTTTACGGCTAATTTTGTTTGGAATAGTTGATGTAGCAGCATTTATAATAGAATGTTTAATCTTATGCCAATAGTATTAATACTTTCAGAGGTTTGTAGTGATAGTGGTACTTGATGTTGATTACCAATTTTCTGAGATCATAACTTTGTAGTTAAATATACGATGGCTAATACCTGTACGCAAACGAGAAGGTTTGCTATAAGCGTTAGGAAAAGTTTATGATGTATTAAGTATAAGATGATCACTACGAGTACTAGTATTACTAGTATCTAGTTTATATAACAAGAGAAACTGGATATTAAACTGATCAGTCCAAATATAGTCAATTCTGCTAGAGTAAATATTGTTAGACTATGTATAATGAGTATTATTGAAATGTGTACCAACATCATATATGTTGGAATGGTGTAGAAAATTTATGAGTCTATATTTTGCTGAAGAACTAAAGTTGGAATCATATATATTGAAATCTCCAAGAATAATAGGATAGAGATTGTGTTGTAAAGTGAACTGAATCTAGCTAATAACAGTAGATTGGGTAGTAGCCCTTTTTGATATACCTGTAGAATTTAATATTGCTTTTAAAGAATAGATCAAAAGCAATAGCACCACTAGAGTGGGTAAGACAATTGTGAATATGTGGTTGAAGAAAGTTGCGTATCATAATAGCAGCGCCCTTTGCTGAGCTGTCTGAATTTGATCAGAAATATGTAAAAAGGTTATTATTATAAAAGGATAAGTTAGATTTTTCTAAAATTTTTGTTTTAGTAATGCAAGCAAAACTAATATTATGATCAAGACAGTAATTTTGCCAGGTTTCTCTTTTGGTGATTGTATTAAAACCTCGAATGTTATGTATTGCAATATTAAGATGTAAATCTCTTATATAGCTAGACTATTGATTAGTGATATAGTTGATAGAGGTGTTGTTTGTGAGAGCTAAAGATAGAGTAGATGATTTTGAGGCCTCATCACAAGAATTTTGTAAAAATGAAAGTAGTTCAGTGGGAAAGGATTCAGAATCATCTAAGTGTGATTCATTGTTGAGTATATTAAATATATTATCTATTTTGTTAGTAGATGTAGGTGAAAATATATTAGTAATGTTCATTGATCTGTAGGAATTGATATAAGTAGAGGAACAGATAGGTGTATTTGATTGTGATTGTAAATTGAGAGGTTGATCTTGGTTGTCAGTTGGGTATTCAGCAGTTTGGTGTTCTGAAATAGATGAGGTAGAAGGAATAGGTAGTATAGTTGGTAGGCTTGGTTTAGATCTCAATGGAATATCAACTGAGTCATATATTATAGAGAAGATATGATGGTTTAGTAGTATGTTAGTATCATCAGGTAAGTATACATGTGTAATAAAATAAAATTTTAAATCTAATTTTAATAGTAATAATTAATAAAATTATAATAATTAATAAGTAATAAATAATAAATAATATTATTATAAATAAAATAATAATTAATAAATGCTAATTAAATATAATAAAATAAATAATAAAATAAGTAATAAACCTTTTGTTTTTAAGATTCGGGTGGTAAAGTGTTTATAACAACTTGGGGTTCCTAATGTTGTCATTTATGATATCTAGCAAGTCTATCACTGTTATAATATTTTTATAAGACTTGTCCTTTATCATTAATAAGCTGATAAGCACCATTGCAAAGCTTAGAATAAATAGTAAAAGGTCCAATTTTTTTATCTTCAAATTTTACAAAACACGATGCTTCTATATCTTTTCGTTAGATCTAAACTTTGTCTCTAACTTCAAATTCTTCTGGCCTTAGTTACTTGTCATGTCTTTCTTTCTGTTTCTTCTGTGAATTTTTTGTATTCTTTCTGGCTTGCTTTTAAGCTTCTGTTAACTTATCCATAAGATCAAAAGCTTGAGATAAAATATTATCTTCTAAGTTTATTTCTGTTTCTATCTCAGTAGTAGAAAAAATTAATTCTATTGGTAAAATAGCTTGTCTTCTATATATTAGCTGAAATAGAGTATATCCTGTAGTAGCATGTTTTTTAGTTCGATAAGCAAATAATACTGCATATAAGTTAAGATCCTGGTCCTTACTTGTTCCTACTTTTGCTAGTAATTTACACAAAGTTCTATTTAATCTTTCTACCATACCGTTAGTTTAAGGATAATATGGTGATGAAAACTTATGCCGAATGAGAAAGTTTTTACATAAAACTTTGATTACTTTACTTCTAAAATTTTTTACTTAGTCAGAAAGAATAGTCCTAGAGATTTCATGTTTATATACTATCTCTTCAAAGATAAATTTAGCAAGAGTTAGAGCTACTATATCTGGTACAGCTCAGGCTTCTGGCCAACGTATTAGGTAATCTGTTGCAACAATAATATATTGATTATTACAAGTAGTTATAGATAGGGGTCCTACTAGATCAATTCTAATTTTTTCAAAGGCTTGTTCTATTTTGATAGGATGTAGTAGTTTTTTTCTCTTAGACTTGCCTTTTCTTTGGCATGTTTTACAGGTCTTCACATATTCTTTAATATCTTGATATATCTGATTTCAATAATATCGTTCTGCAATTTTATGGTATATAGCATCTATTTCCAAATATCCAGCAATAGGATGACTATATATTATATATAGAATAGGATCTACTTTAGTCTATTTAACAACTCTAAATAGTTTGTCTGAGTCTTGTTTGTTTTTCTTGTATAAATGTCTATTTTTAATCATAAAATATTTAGCCTGATTTTGAAGTTGTTTCTGTTAATATATGGTAAAGTCAGAAGGTAAGGTGTCAGAATTTAAATAATTAAATAGATTTTGTATTAATTTAAATTCATTATTAAAATTCTGGTAGTTAGAGTCTTGAGAGAGCATCTACATTAAAGTAAATTCTATCCAGTTTGTGTATAATAGTGAAGTTGTAGGGTTGTAATTTTAAAATCCATCATCCAATTCATCCTTTTGGTTCTAT